ATTATTCTGTCACGTTGTCACCCTCTTTTATATACCAGACTACCCTATATCTAGTAAATGCTAGAGCATTCGCCAAGGTACAGAATAGTTCTAGAAAGCAGAGGGCGTGAGAATAGTCACGTGATCTCGCTGACGCAACAATAATCTTCAGCTGTCTTTTAAATGAACTACTATATAAAAACGTACATTTTTTTTTCAATTACGCCGTACTAACATGTTTATATACAAGAATCAGAAACTATCAACCCTTTTTTTATATTTTTATACAAAAAGTATCGAAATTCTAAAAATAAAATAAAAAAACGAGAGTGGCTTAGTTGTTAGCGTTCCGGATTGTGTATCGGACAGTACGAGATTCAAGCACAGGATGTGCTAGTGAACGCATTACAAATTTTTAGCTGTATGTATGTACTAATATAACGCTATGGATTAATAATAACTGTATAAGCGGCGGGTGCTACAGGACGGTTGTCTCTTTTGTCTCTGAACAGCAGTTCAAAATTAGGGATGGCCAGGCGTAGAGCTTGAGCTTTCTGAACTGGCTGTTTAGTCGATGTGTTGCGCAGTATGTCGTTCTGGTTTAAAATAATTATTCGAAAAGAATAAATTATTCTTCAACTGAAAACTCACGAATGTTAAGCCTACCGCAGTCCAATAGTTAGCGTGGAGGTAGGATCAGTGGTTCATTCATTACTGAATATATATATATATATATTATGGACGTCGATGCATTATAAGAATGTCGGCCATATTCCACTGTCCGGTCTGAAAACGAGTATATTTTGAGTGGTATTGATTAACTTCCTTCAAAATAAGGGATGGCTAGTGCAGATGGCACTCGTGTAGCTTTGAGCGAAATTCAAACAAACCAAACTAAAATAAAAATGTATGTTTTATTTACAGCTGACGCTTTTATTTTACATCTAAATCTGCGGCTGCGGTTACAGGTGAAAATAAAAGAATCACAATAAAACTAAATTCACAGTTTATAATCCCATATTCATTCAGAATTTCTAAAAAGTATATAAAAGAAATTAATATCGTTTTATGGACTTGGTGGTCGTTCATTTAAAGTTAATTATTTGTAAATCATACAATTTTTTGAACTTATTTTATACATGGAATTATAAACAAAATGAAATAATTGAACAGACGTTTGCTACACGTTTGAGGTTTAATGTTTATTTGGTTCAAATCTAGTTAGGCCTAAGCTAACAAACATTGTGCCTGATGAATATAACATTCGAGTCAAAAGCTTGTACCGAATAAGTCATAAATAACAACTGTTCAGTCACTTCACCATCATCAACTCTTTCAGTCGGCTTGACTTCAGCTTGATGGCACCTAATTAGTTCAACCTCTCTTTTAACAGTTACCGGAACTTGGCCTTTGTTGTTCCCAAACGTCATTTTATCAAAATCAACTACACACTTCCTCGGCAGTACATAGTCCAATCCTAATATGAATTCATCTTCCATGTCAGCCAAGTATACTTTCTGTCTATCCTTTATGCCCATGCATATCCTTTATGCAATAGTCACCCACACTGGTCCCCAT